TCGTAATATCTTAATACTATTATATACTAAAGCGAGCAATGTATCTAATAGCAGCCCTAATGTATATCCTATCGTTAACCATTAAACAGTTGTTACGTTAAAAAAGCGTCTGAGTAAATCACTTCCGGTGCGTTGTCTCTCCTTCTATCTCGACTCTGATCGCTCCGTTACGCGACCGCTCGCGTGACCTAAATAACGCGGCTTCCGTGTCCGCCGAGACGCGGTGGTGTCATCCTGACAGGGCACCAAAGAGGTGCCGACCCTTCGGTCACATAGATATACATAGGATAACGCGTAGCATCTGCTATAGTTTTTATTCTCCGGACTGTTATAAATAAAGAGGAAAAGTACGGCGATGTGTCACAAAATAAACCTGAATTAATATTTTTACATTTTTGGACACAAGAAACATTGAAACGAACAAAGATGTACGAAGAAAAACGTATACAGAAAATCCTCGTTAATTCCAACTCGCAAATATTTCGTTTTTTGGATTTCGACATGGACGTGTGTGTTGCACAAATTTGTTCACTCATTATGAAGCATAAGATTATTGTTTCTTTTTGTTTGTATCCTTGTTTAAAAAGAATTAATTTTACGTCTTTACAAGGAGGTTTGTGTGTTATTAATTAACATCATTAGTGTTAAATTTTAATAGTTATAAATACAAGGGATAGAAGATAAATGTAGTCACGTCTCATATCTCGAGAAATGTGGCACTTAAAGAAGATTTAACACGTTATTAGCAATTACAGTTGTTTTCTAAAATTCTTACTTATCCTCAAAATTCTGCTTTTTGCAATTTTATAATAATTTATTTGTAGAAAAGAGATGGCAGAATTACAATTTAATAAAAAGTAAAATACATCTGGATACGAGTCCAATTTTGCTTGCCATGTCCAATCACCAGGAACAGAGACATTGCAGAGACAACCTTTCTTTAGAAATGTTGTCTTTGCAATGGAAATAGTTTTACTTTTTATTAAAAAAATAATAATTTATATTAAAAGTTNTTCGATTCTGCGATTGTAATGTAATTGTATAATGAGAAAAAATAAGAAAATCGTTTTATTATTAATTAAAATATTGGTATTAAATCTGTCTTATAAAATCACGACAAATCCTGTAAATCGAGTTACATTATCCGATAAAAATAAAACACAATACCAATATAGCCCTAACGTTGAAAAAATTCGCTTATTTTTGCTCACCTCGAGTTTTGCTTAGTGGAAATGGCTAAAACGTGCGCAAAATACGTACGGAAATACGGTATTACAGCACCACCTGTATTGGACGACCACCTGTCTAAAAGACCACTTTTTTAAGGAACCCTGGGTGGTCGCCATAGACAGGTTTTACTGTATATACATTTACAAGTATATACTGTATTTACAGTACATGAATTCGTAAATTCTCATTACTTTTGTCTGTACTATATTAAAAACTAAAATTTATATGTTTGTAAGCTTAAAATAGATCCTTATTAACCATATATTATTAAAAATGCATTAATAAATAAAATATAGAATCGGGAATGGTAATTTATGGTTTAGCCTAGTGACAAGTAGATTCGAAGACAAGTAAATTCGACTTACGTCGCCTTTTTTGGAACCAATGACCGACGTTAGGCAAGGTGTACCAGTATACATAATTTATTACATTTTATTTTTACTGCCTAACTAGCTGCAAGGACCCACTTCGCTGGGCAAAGAGTAACGATAATGAAGATTAAGATAATTACATTATAGCTAATCTTACCCGTTTTCACAGAATGCAAGAATTAGGTCCCCCGTTTCCAGACTAATTAGAAAATTTTTACGTTTAGTCAAACGAACTTTTTCAACGTTTCTGGAACGTTTTTAATTGTTCCATAATCGAACCAGTTCGAATTTTATGTTCGAATTTATTTCGAACAAATTCGAAAAAATCGAACAAAACATTCTAAATAGAAAGCCACTTTCAATCACTTTCAGCCTCATATCTCCCGCACCCTTATAGCTATCGAGACGCAACCACCCCTATGCACGAAGAAAGACTTGGGGCTACCACCTTATACAAACACCATTTACGTGCGATGTGTAGTTTTAGCGAAAAACTGAAATATAGGGACATACATGTCCAGTTTTATATATGGATATAGATCATTTAATTTAATATTAACCTGGTTTAAAGTTGTTCATTTAATTAGACAAACCAAATTTAACTTTTTTATTATATTACTGTATTTAATACATTAAATATGTAAAATATTCATTAACTACATTTTGAGCAATTGTGACCGAAGGGTCTGCACTGGATTGGCACACCTCAGAACTGACATCATTGTGTTTTAGAAAACACAGAAGTCGTGATGGCATTTACG